CCTCTCTATTTATCCATAGCACGTCTACTGGGGGAACTGTCTTACTTCTTTTGTATGTTGATGATATGGTTATTACTGGTTCTAATCATGCATATATTCAAAAACTTAAACAGCAATTACATGCTTCCTTTCATATGAAAGATCTTGGTAAACTACATTATTTTATTGGTCTTTGAGGTTCATTCTACATCCAAGGGCATCGGTCTCCGTCAACACAAGTATGCTACATATTTAATTTCTTTAGTTGGTCTCTAATCGGCTAACCTGGTAGATACTCCCCTTGAGGTTAATGTTAAATATCATCGTGATAATGGTAATCTTTTTTCGATTACCTTATTGTATCGATAACTTATGGGTAGCCTTAATTACTTGACTATTACTTGCCCTGACATATCTTTTGTTGTTCACCAAGTATGTCAATTCATGCATTCTCCTTGCCATATTCACTTGGCTGCAGTTCGCCGTATAATTATCTACTTAGAGGGAACCACACACTGTTGATTATTATTTCCAATTGGGATTTATCTTCAATTGAGTGCCTATAGGGATGCTGATTGGGCAGAGTGTCCGGACACTCGTCGATCTGTCACTGGATGACGCATGTTTCTTGGTTCTTCGTTGATCTCATGGAAAAGTAAGAAGCAAGCAAGAGTCTCTAAATCCTCTACTGAATATGAGTATCGTGCCATGTTTGATGCATGATCAAAAATTATTTGGTTGCATGGTCTTTTGGTTGAACTTGGATTTCCTCAAACGGAGCCTACATCAGTTTATGCCGACAATACAAGTGTCATCCAAATTGTTGCAAATTATGTCTTTCATGAATACACAAAACATATTGAAGTCGATTGCCATTCAATTCGTGATGCATATGATGTCTGAATTATAACACTGCATCACGCCAGTACTCAACTTCAGATTGCATATATTCTTACCAAAGTTGTTCCGCGCTCACGCCATCAGTTTCTTGTTAGCAAATTGATGCCTATTGACCAGCCGCGTCAATTTCAGGGGTGTGTTAATTAGCAATTGATTTTATTATTTATTGTAAATTAGTTACTTTCTTGTAATAGGTTAGATAAATTAGACAATAGAATATTTGCAATTATAATTTGTAATTACATATAATTACTGATACTATTATATATAGTATGGAATGAAGTAGAGAAAGACAAGCAACCACTTTTCATGACAAAATTAACTTTGGGAATTATTATGTCCTCTAGTAAAATAAAATCTTGTCTTGCTAACTTTAAGTCAAATATTTCTCAAATGTTTTTAATTATTTTTATTAAAACTTTTTTTCTTCAAGAAATGGCTGAAATGGTTGAAAACTATTCTAAGTCTTCTCTATAAATGGCTCATTAAAAGGAAGTTAGTGACAAGAGAATCATTTGAAATAATTGGAAAAGAATATGTCATTACTAATCATGAAATGATTAAAGATTCTTAATCATTATCAAGAGACAACAAACGCACTAAAAGAAACGTATACTCCCAGACTTGGTCATCACTCAAATCATAAGTCATGAGGAATATCCTACATTCTTCATCTTATTTCTCATCAGTTGGATCCTTCTTCTTCCTAGATTTCTTCACCCCCTGCCACTGAAGTTCTTCCTACCTTTGATGATCTTGTAGATGTGCATGCACATTCAGAAGATCTGATTGTTTCATCTTTGAGAGAAACCCCTCTTATAAGAAGTGATCTCATTGACCTTGTTGATTTCCTTGGAGGAGTTGCTTTTGGAATTCTTAGATAATTTGCTCATTTTGTCAAAGATGAAGAGTTTGATAAAGTAATGTGACTTGTCTTGTAACAATACTCTACTTATATAGAGAGTTTTGATTAAAGCATAACCAGTTTTGGATATTATGCACCGATGGGCATGAGAGAAAGCTATTTTTTAGGTCTGCAAGTATTTGTTCTCAGCTTTGATTGCTACTGATTCACCTGCATGCTTAGTTGACAGGATAAGCCTTGACCCCCTCGAGAATTGAAGAACAGTTCTCAACCACTCTAGCCATTTTTCATAGTCTTTGATACTCGGTATTTTATTCATTTTTTCAAGGGGAGCAAGGATATGATTTAAATTCATTTTTATTCAAATTTAATAAAATCCCAAACATTTAAATATGTGGGTGTGTTTCTGTTTGTGCTCATTCTGCTTGCTTCTTTTTGTTGATAACAAAAGAGAAAGTATGATAAGCATTTAAGCAACTAAATTTGATAGGTTCAGAATTTTTTATTGCTTAAAATCTGAAGATTTATTTTTGCGCTTTAAAGATAAATTTAATTAACCTGCAAGAACTTAGGGGGGGCTTAAAAACTTCACCCTTAGGACTATCATACTCATAGGAAGCTTACAAACCTCAGACTCTGAAGTCAACTTGTTAATTAAATCAACAACCATTATTCTTAAATACTTGCGTTTGTCATGATAAAAATGGGGAAGATTATTGAAACAGATTTGGTTTGTATCTTATCTCTTAGGTTTTGATGATAATAAAGTATTTAAAGAACAATTAAGTATACTAACATATGTTCAAGTATGCAGAAACATAGATTAAAATTCAAATACAAAGTCAGTTCTGACACTACATTGAACATCCAAAAAGAAGCTCAAAGATATAGATTCTGAAGATTAGACTATGAAGAACCAGCTTTTGAAGGAAGTCAACTTCTGAAAAAAATCAAAGTTCAGAATCTAAAGACTTAGCCTGTGAACCTGGTCAGGGATCAGAACCTAAAGATCTCAGATTCTGAATGAAGTCTACTTCTGAAGACTCAAAATCCAAAGAAAGTCAAAGCTCAAGGATCAAGAAAATCTGATAGATCATTATCAAACTCTGAAGACCTTTTATTTTATTCTGATCACATAAAATACTTAGTAGAAATTGTATAAGACAAATGAAATGCAACTGATAATTCCTCTTATAGAAAATAAGTTTTAAATTGCCCTTCAATGACATTAACCATATTAGAAATCTTTCTAATGTCTCTGATGAAGCTTATATCCAAGACTCCTTGTGCATGAAGTTTTCTCCAACACTTCGTGTTCCTCTATAAAAGAAAATGGAAAGTTGGAGAAACTAAACACCACGTCTTGACAAACAAAGAGTTGTTACTATGTTAAAACTATTGCACAAGCTTAAACTTAATTTTTTTTAACATTTATATATTCATAGAGGTTCTTAAGTCTTACCGTCTTTTTGTGTTGTATTTTATTTACATCTCTGATTGTTATCAAGTGTAAAGTCTTAAACAATCCTTAATCTCTAAGATAGATTGTTAAAAGTCTCTTACTTGTTGCTTGAGCATCTGAAGTCTCTTGCTTGTGTGCTTGAGTATTAAAGTCTCTTGTTTGTGTGCTTGAGCATTTGAAAGTCTCTTGCTTGTGTGCTTGAGTATTTGTAATAAAAAATAATTATAGTGAAAATTCTTTGAAAGTGCAAGAGGACTGGACTACTCATATTTTGTGGGAAGAACCAAAATAATTATTTGTGTCTTTCTTCCTTTCTTTTTCATCTCTAAACCTTTTATTCTGCTACATACTTCAAACTCGGACTCAGATTCTAACCTTGTGTTCAGAATATGATAAGAGAGTTTTAAGAGTAAAAGAATTTTTTTAACACTATTCAACCTCCTCTTGTGTTTTTTTTCCACATTTAATAACTGATTACTGTAAATACATAACCACTTACACCAATGCCATAATCATTTTTTCAACATATATAATTTTTTGACATACATATAATCGATTACACATTCGTGATAATCAATTATAACACTTATATTACTAAAATTCTCTTGAGAGAAATTCCAACCACATGATTGCCACGTAAAAAAAAAGAAAAAAATTACATAAAAAAATAAAAATTACACATACAAATTTTTTTTTAAATGAGCAATATAATAATAGTTTTAAACTTTAATTATAATGTCAAATATAATAATATCAATTTTAGGCAAATAATAATAACTACTAAACATTTGTATACACACCATAAGATTTAGGAGCCTAGCTTTACTGATAATATCAAATCTAACAATAAAGTTTAGAGATCGAACTTTAGTGATAATGTCAAATCTAACAATATCAATTTTTTATCGATTGAATCGATTGAATGACACACATAATATTTTTATTTGATAAATTATTCATAGGTTGATAATATTTTTATTTGATAAATTATTGGGTGCTTATAAATTTTAGTTGATTACAAGTTCCCTTGGTACAAATTGAATTAAAATTTTAATTTATTTTAAAATAAAACAAAATAAAAAATAACATGACATTGAATAACATTGTTTGATTTAAATTTAATTCGATGATAAATATCTATCCAACTAAATTCAAAGTCGCCTTAATATCCATCTTATTATTTTTATTTACAAAAATAGTGTTATATAACTAGAAAGTCAATTTCTAATGCTATTTTTGATTTGGCATTGAGATTTAAAAAATCACAGTGAAAATTAGCGTTTACTCAAAAACTACCTTTTGTAACTTTTCGAAATCACGGATGAAAGAGCCTTGAACGTGCATTTGCTGGCCGATAAGCCAAACCAAACACACTATAAGTCAATAGTTGGTGGGGTGAAGATATATTCATGGAGAAGATCTAAATCCGTAATTGCCAAGGACAATTTTTAAAATTGACAGCACCTATATCAATGCTACTCAAAGGGAAATAGATTCATATTGTTCAAAGTTAACGTCAATCTACACAAACTGAAAGAATGTGCTAAACATTTTTGAAGAAATCAAAGCAAATGATAAAAACTAGAGTCTTGTTCAAATAATTCATATAAGAAAAATGCAAAAAAAAACAAGGGTTCTAAGATTTTCAGAGACAAGTACAGTCACACATATTTAACATAATATCCCTGACACTTTTGAGTAGTAGCATATACTCGATAACATTGCTTATCAAATTGAAGCATAGAATGCATAAAGATGACACAAAAATCTTTCCCAATCTAAAAAAAGTGCAAACTACAATGGCAAAAGCATGACAGGACAGGGAATGAACTCAGCAAGCAAATTTGCATCAATATGCTTTGTATGAATTGCTTCCATGCTAATAACTACCAAATCCAAATTAAGTTCATCAGCAACATCACCAATTATTGCTGTTGGCTTGCTTCCATCACCAAGCCGCTCGAGCATTTTATAGTCTTTTAATCCACCTGTATTTTTCATTATTAAATACAGAACATGATGGTGTGACAAATCATGATTGATAACAACTCTTACACATTATGTCCACAGTGCCATGAATGTAACTTGAAAATGATGAAAACAATACGTGAAACAAATAAATCTGATGATATCATTCCTTACATTTCCTATGTATTTGATTAGCTACAAAATAATGGACTAGATAACGCAAAAACAGTTGTTCCAATATTTTAATCACAAGAGGGTCATTGCACAAGACATAGTAAAAGTTGAGGCACAGGACAAAACTCTTAAAATTTGGTACTCCATAAACAAGATGAAAAAAATACTAAACAATTTCTCCCTTAACAATAACTTTCATCCCCAAGTTACTGTCCTTCCTTCATCCCTCTTCCTCCATCTTCTTTTTCCGTTCACTCCCTCAAGCCCCTTTCTTACCCAAGACAAAGTTATACATGATTCAATTACTTGTATTGTGTTGTTCATCAATGTGTATCAAATACGCCTCATACGTCACACACTTATGACTGTTCATCAATAATTACAATTCATGGCGTGTACATCCTTTTAGGTTCTCAAATCAAATTTGTGCTTTCACCACCAGTGTTATCAAATAGCGACGCCATGACCGCAATGACGGATATACATGGCGGTTTTTGGGCTCATCGAAATAGTAAATATCGGTCGATATTGCGGGTTTTTCTGCCATAATCCGCTATAACACCGCCGCAAAGACACCGGTATGGCGGGATTTTGACTCTCCGCCATTCACCACAAACCTATTGGACTACTTGAACTAAAATACACAATGAACTTACAACTTCAAAAACATTCTAAGATAATGTTCAAGCTGAGAAAGGATGTTGTTGCACACCAAATAAGAAAAATATATCATTGATAATGTACCTTCCAGTGCCTCAACAAAACAACATTCAACTCCTCTAAAGTGATGAATACCAATCATTGATATAACATACAAATACATGATAAATCATGAGCATTTTGAAATATCAATCATTCTTTTCACTTTAATAGTTTATTCTCTACTCCTTTAGAAGAGCTGAATCCAGAAATAAAAGAGAACTCGGCAAATGATAAAAAGAAGAAAAAAAAATGTTATACAAACCTTCAGATATATGCCATCGGATGCTGGAAAGTTGAGTCTCATGCTCAGGCAGAGACTCCTTCTGCTGTTCATCAATAACTGAAAACCATATAAATAACATAAAGCAAATATGTAAAAAGATTTCCTTGACAGCTTCATACAAGCACCACAATTACACATACTAACATACCTACAACTGTAATGTCAGCTCCATACTTCTTAGCTAAGGCAATGGTAGTTGCTATAGCCTGGTAAAAATAAAAAATAGCCACGGCCATAAATCAGTGTTTAGTGAAGAAATGCACAAAATTAAGTCAAAAATTGAAATTGCAAAGTTTAGATAAATTCTGGAAATACAATCCATATTGTTAAGAATTGTGATTTTGGGCCTAACTCAACCCTACAAAACCGGCTTGTAGGGTGAGGATTTGGGACTCTTAACACACCCCCTCGATAGGAGAAACCTGAAACCAGCTTGTAGGGTGAGGATTGTCCCCAGTTATAAGGACATGTTCAGACTTTATGGAACTCTTAACGGTTATAATACTCTTGATATTAAAAAAAGTCAAAGATTAATCTATTTTTCCTATCTACTGGTCTCCCTCCAAAGCCCTTTACTTCCCTCCCTCCCCTCCTAACTTTCAAACAGAACCTAAAGTTATGTTGGCGGAGCGGAGCAGGGTGAAGATTTCATTCAGTCAAATAAGGTGGCAAGTGATAGAATGAAATGAAATCCCTACCACTCCATACCTCTCTGCATCCTGATATTTGATTTCAGCCCTATTCCAAAAAAAATAAAATAAAATAAAATAGAATGACCTGTTTAGTTCCCTCAGAGAGATAGGGTTTTCTATCAGTAATAGGCAAAAGCAGATGCTTGAATTGTGTAAATGCATCCGTAGCTACAGTAACTTCAGGTTCTTGTGCTTTAGCCTTAACTGAATTGAGACACAAGAAAACAAAACAAACATTTGAGTATTTTCAATTACTGAAAACCACAAGAATTGGCAATTGGCATGCATCATTTTCTTAAACAAAACAAACGCAAATGACGTAAAGTGAATATAATTAATGAATTTGATTACCGGTGATTCTGCGGAGGGTGGAAATTGAAGAACGGTTATGAAGTATAGAAGGGGAGTTGAAATGGTAGGAGGATGGGTTGAAAAATAGGGAGGGTTTTGGGAAGTTGAGAGAGGGTTTAACGAGTTGAAGCGGTGGAAGATGGTTAGCGAACGCCATAACCTGTTCTCGGAGTTCGGGGAAGTGAACAAGATTCTGGTGAGTTCCAGACAACGACACGATGTGCTATTATATAATTGGTTAGACTATTTTGGAATTGTATAATTTTATACAAAATACTTTATCTATTTTATTTTCTAATAAATGGAAAAGATACTATTTTTTAAGGTTTAATGGAGATACAATTTAATTATTTTATTTATTTTTTCAACTAAAATATACATTTCAGATGTACCAAAATTACTTAATTTATATATTTTTTATATAAATTTTTTAACTATTATTATAATATATTTATTATAATTATATTAGTTATAATTTTTTTATTATTATTTATACTAGAAGTAGAATATAATAGAAACAAAATAAGAATTTTTTTTTTTGAATAATCAAGTATTAAAAAAAAATCGTAAATAATCGCGTTTCGGAAAAAATTACGCAAATAACCATGTTTCAGATGACTCCCCAAAGGAGGAGTCATCTCACTTGGCGCATCCTCCCATTTTTTAAGGGGAGGTGTCATCTCACTTGGCGCCTATGTGCTTAGGGCGCCCTAAGCCAAGTGAGATGGCGCCTATGTGTATTTTTAGGGCAAAATATGATTTTTTTTTTGTCCGGTTAGTTGCGTATTGGATACAGGATCAACAAAATGGATTTTTTATTTAAAAAAAAAATAATTACATCCAACTGTATTACATTAAAAAAACAGATAAAAAAAACAGATAAAAAAATACAAGAAAAAAACAGATAAACCAGTGATCCCCCGGAACCCGGTAATGACCTCCGGTTCCGCATCTCCGTCCTCGCCTTTCCCGTGCTGGGTGTCGTCGTGTTTCCTGCTCGGCAGGGTCGATGGCCCAGCGAAGTCAATGCGGTCCGGATCTATAAAATCAGTCAGATTTCCATATCTAGAAGATCCGCTTTGGTACAGTCGGTTATCCATACCCTCAAAGTTTGGTCGTGTTGGCGGTGGGTGGGGTTCCATGGTGGGTCTGTAGCATTGATCGTCTAAGTACGGTGGGTAGAAAGGAAATGGATCTTGGGGTGTTTGGTATTGAGGATGTTGGGTGGTTTGGTGATATTGTGGTTGATGGTAGGCTGGGTCGGTTTGTTCGTAATCTTCCGACATTCCCATATCAGGGCTAAGGCTGGATGTTGAGGGGCCCATATTGAGATATACGGAAGACTGAAATTGTGTGTGGGGTATGCGGGTGTGTTGGTATTGTGATTGGTATTGTGGTTGGGTGTAAGGCATATCGGGGTATTGGTAGTGAGGTGGTGATTGTGGTTGGTTATGGGGCATTTGAGTGTAATTGTGTTGTGGTGGGGACTGTGGTTGGGTGTTTGTGGTTCTGTTTCTTCTTGGGGGTTGGTGGGAGGTTGATGGGTTTTGGGTTTGTTGTTGGGGAAACGAGGGTTGTGCCCATTGTGTGTGTGGGTCAACCAAGTACCTTGGATGAGACACATGCATTTCAGGGTTACTAACCGACCTGTACCAAGATAAATATTGATCTGTGTGTCGCATATTACCATGATTAAGGAAAACCGAGAATTGCAAGACATAACGGTGACGCCTCTGCCACATCTTACACCATTTCAGAGCAAAGTATTTCCAGTTGGTAAGACCCCACTGGGCGTCGACCCTTTTAAGATGCCATGGGAACAAACAAGTTGGATCACTTGGTATCTCTTGATGCATTCCGAACTGCATCTTCACACGGTCGCTGTGGTGCATCTCCACAACGTTGAACCGAGTGATTGCAGTCTTCGCGGTCCAAATTGCTGCATCCTCCAGGTTTGGATCATGGCCCAAACCCAAATATGGTCTCCAGACGAACTGCGATAAAATTTAAATCAGGTTAACGAAAACGTAATGTATAAATAATTTAAATGAAGAAAAGTTTAAAGCTATGACGTACATCATCCGGGCCTAAGTGATCCAAAAGATTGCGGTATAGTGCGACATTGAATCTTGGATTCTTGCCGTAATCCATACCCCTCACGCAATACCTAAAGGAAATGAAAAACATTTTATTCTTAGCATATATTTGGTGAAGAGATGAATAGTAATAAATGATATAACTTGATGACTTACTTTGTTGCGTATGGGAAAACGAAAGTGTTGTTGTTGACGGGGTTTAAGGACTCCATCCTCCACCAACCCCAGACTTGTAGTAAAACAGATAAAAAAAAACAGGAAAAAAAACAGATAAATCAGTGATCCCCCGGAACCCGGTAATGACCCCCGGTTCCGCATCCCCGTCCTCGCCTTTCCCGTGCTGGGTGTCGTCGCGTTTCCTGTTGCGGCAGGGTCGATGGCCCAGCGAAGTCAATGCGGTCCGGATCTATAAAATCAGTCAAATCTCCATATCTAGAAGATCCGCTTTGGTACAGTCGGTTACCCATACCCTCAAAGTTTGGTCGTGTTGGCGGTGGGTGGGGTTCCATGGTGGGTCTGTAGCATTGATCGTCTGAGTACGGTGGGTAGAAAGGAAATGGATCTTGGGGTGTTTGGTATTGAGGATGTTGGGTGGTTTGGTGATATTGTGGTTGTTGGTAGGCTGGGTCGGTTTGTTCGTAATCTTTCGACATTCCCATATCAGGGCTAAGGCTGGATGTTGAGGGGCCCATATTGAGATATACGGAAGACTGAAATTGTGTGTGGGGTATGCGGGTGTGTTGGTATTGTGATTGGTATTGTGGTTGGGTGTGAGGCATATCGGGGTATTGGTAGTGAGGTGGTGATTGTGGTTGATTGTGGGGCATTTGAGTGTAATTGTGTTGTGGTGGGGACTGTGGTTGGGTGTTTGTGGTTCTGTTTCTTCTTGGGGGTTGGTGGGAGGTTGATGGGTTTTGGGTTTGTTGGGGAAACGAGGGGTGTGCCCATTGTGTGCGTGGATCAACCAAGTACCTTGGATGAGACACGTGCATTTCAGGGTTACTAACCGACCTGTACCAAGATAAATATTGATCAGTGTGTCGCATATTACCATGATTAAGGAAAACCTGGAATTGCAAGACATAACGGTGACGCCTCTGCCACATCTTACACCATTTCGGAGCGAAGTCTTTCCAGTTGGTAAGACCCCACTGGGCGTCGACCCTTTTAAGATGCCATGGGGACAAACAAGTTGGATCACTTGGTATCTCTTGATGCATTCCGAACTGCATCTTCACACGGTCGCTGTGGTGCATCTCCACAACGTTGAACCGAATGATTGCAGTCTTCGCGGTCCAAATTGCTGCATCCTCCGGGTTTGGATCATGGCCCAAACCCAAATATGGTCTCCAGACGAACTGCGATAAAATTTAAATCAGGTTAACGAAAACGTAATGTATAAATAATTTAAATGAAGAAAAGTTTAAAGCTACGACGTACATCATCTGGGCTTAAGTGATCCAACATATTGCGGTATAGTGCGACATTGAATCTTGGATTCTTGCCGTAATCCATACCCCTCACGCAATACCTAAAGGAAATGAAAAACATTTTATTCTTAGCATATATTTGGTGAAGAGATGAATAGTAATAAATGATATAACTTGATGACTTACTTTGTTGCGTACGGGAAAACGAAAGTGTTGTTGTTGATGGAGTTTAAGGACTCCATCCTCCACCAACCCCAGGCTTGTAGTAAAAAAGCGCACCCATAAAATGTACATTTTTCCTTGACTGCATTTTTGCACAAGGAACTGTATAGGTGGGCTAAAACTGCAGAACCCCAACAATATTTTCTTGTTTTTTCAAAATCTCTTAGTAAATATAAATACATAAAATTTACACTATTTCCCGTACTTTCGGGAAATAAAAAGGTACCAAATAGTATCATAAGATAAGTTATGGCTTTTACTACCCTGTCTTGCTCAGAGGAATTTTCGTTTAATTCCAAACTTGCATAATGACTTTTAAGCTCAATGAGTAGTATTCTCTGACCTCTCGCACCACCACCTTCAACCATATCCCTGCCCAACAGTTCTTCACACTGAGAGTTGGGTTGTTGAACCGACCCGTTCACGGCCTTACCGTCGACAGGGAGACCTAGTAGCATGTACACATCCTCTAGCATGTATCGGCCTTAATTATGTTGTAAACATTATGGTTTTCCGTTAACAGATTTTCCTACAATAAATATTGCGCGTACAAGAAAAATTAACGATATTCCGTCTACGAAATTACAATTGTTAACACAATTTCATCTGACTCATGCATCATCAACATTACATCGCTGTCTGTTTTGACTTCCTCCAACCATACATTAGGTCTTCCTGTTGCATGTGGGATTGTTATACGTTTTCGCTGGATCCCCCTCCGCAATGTCTCCATCTAGCCATCGCATCAACTCCCGCTTCAGACGCTGCATGGAGTGAATGTGCCAGAATTTCATTTTCATCGCAGGTTTTGTGGCGGAGAAGATAACGTAACCATCTCTGCTAAAAATCATGGGCGACGTCATGACGCAAATAACAGAGTAAAAAATAAAAATACAGTGCGAGAAAGTGTGCAAAATTTTGGAGTAACGGACAAATTATTTATAAAACAGCATTTTGCCCTAGTTATGCCCTAGGAGCCAAGTGAGATGGCGCCTCCTCTCACTTTTAAGGAGCATGCGCCATCTCACTTGGCTAAAAGTGAAGGGAGGCGCCAAGTGAGATGGCGCCTAGGGCAAATATATGGGTGGAGGCGCCAAGTGAGATGACTCTTCCTTTGAAGAGTCATCCGAAACATAATTATTTACGTAATTTTTTCCGAAACACGGTTATTTGTGAAATATTATTTTAATACTTGATTATTGTAAAAAAAAATTACAAAATGATATTATCATCTTCAAATTTAATTTCATTCTCATTTATAAACCTATGATATTGTTTTTTTCTTCTTCATATTAAAATACAATATAAAATATTAATATGTCGTTCGTTTATAACTTAAAATTATTTACACTTTTAGGTTTTTTTTACAAATAATATAGTTATTTTATATTAAAACAGTACAATTTTAAAAAATAAACTCTATTTACTTTTTTACATATGTGGATTGAGTTAGCATCATGTCATGTCATTTTTTATAATTGTTCTTCTGCGATATTAATTTTAGTTTTTTTTTTAAATATTTAATATTTTGTATTTTTTGTGTTATTATAAATTGTTTTTGTACTTGGCCTTGTATCATTTTTATAGATTGCTATTTTCTTAAATTTTATATAGTGATTAAAAATGTATATTAAATATAAAAAGAATAACAATTTTATAATTTCATAAGATGTTTGTTTATTCACCAATTATATTTGTCACATGTTTTTTATAAAATCAAATATTTATATCATTTTTTAATATAAATATTAACATTTTATTATAAAAAAATACTAATATTTATTCAAGTCAATTTTATTTTTTCTTATATCATGTCATAATATCATATATCATTTTCTATCAAGTATATAATATTTTTGTTAAAATAAAAATTATTAAAAAAATCATACTTAATTGATTGAATCAATTTTTATAAAAATAAATTGCTTTAGTAAAAAAATTGACGTTCTAAATTAAAAATATATTTGAAAATTCAAAATAAAATAAAGTTAATTAATTTTACATTCTACTAATAAATACTTATATGACCTAAATGATTTAAAATAATATAATTATAAAAAAAAAAACGTGTAAGATCCTGTCTTTCAATTTATTCATTAATATTGAATTATTATATACTAATACAATTTTTTTTATAGAATTGTTTTAAACTATAATACATGATAACTTAATTATAATAATAATCTCGTATTTCAATAATTCATTAGTATTTAAGAATAATTAATTTCAAAATATATAAATCAATTAAATCTAATAAATAATAATTTAATTATTTTAAGAAAAAAGTATTAAAAACGAGAAGTTTGTAAAAAATTTATAATATTATAACAAAAATAAATATTACATGTAATTAATTTATAATATAATATTTCATATTTTTATTATAATTATGATTATAACTATTTATAGCTATATTTTCTTGTGGAGAATATATTTGAAATAATAGTAAAATAAATATATGTTTAATACTACTAAAAATGGAATATGTAGAGGAAGATAAAAACAATTATTAAACAAAAATTAAATGCATAGCTAAAATGGTAGATTATAACGGTAATCAAAAGCAATAAAAAATATCTCTCTAAATTGGTTTAGCTAAGGGTTTTTTATATATTAAAAGTAGAAAAGTAGATTTATTATTTATCATTGATTTTTTATTTTTTTATTTATCACACTATTAGTATTTATTATTATATAATATTATTTTTAATTGGTGGATAAAAAATATATGACATTAGTGTTAATTGCTATTATTAAATATAAAATAAACTAAAATTCATTTTAAAAATATTTATTTAATTTAAAAATTATAAAAATTAAAAGAAAATATATAAATGTGAGTAGTAGTGGAGAGTTGTAGGTAGTTAAATTTTTATATATGAAAATTAGAAAAATAGATTACTATCATTTTATTATTTATCATTGATATTTTTTTATCTTTTTTACTTATCAAATTATTAGTATTTATTATTATTATTATTATTATTATTCTATAGTATTATTTTTAATTGGTGAAAAAATATATTAACCAATTATATGATATTAGTGTTAATTGTTATTATTAAAAATGAAACAGAATAAAATCAAACTCATCTCATTTGAATCAATAACGTGAAGATAGAAAAATAAATCAAAAAAAAAATCCAAATATTAATGATTTGTATTGGTAACCAAATTAAACCATTAATATATAGCAGGTTAATCAACATGTTATTAAATAAAATATGATATCAATTTATTAAAAATTAAGAAAAATTTCTATATTTTATAAAAATTATATATTTCTATAAATAAATAAAAGTTATTAATGTTTTTCAATCAACATTCTACACTTTCCATACTTATATATTATAACAAAATATTATAAAGAAATGTAAACTGAATTTTTCAAATCTCTTAATTTGTTTTCTCTCACATATCTTTTTAGATCTCAATGATTCTCTCTTTGTTTCTCACTATTCATAAAAGAAAACAACAACAAAAAAACGCTCAATCGCTCGTGATCTTTCAGTTAATCGATTAAATGAATCTTTCTTTTTCTGCATCACAGCTTTTCAAAACAACGATACACAAATTAAACACGTCTCAAAACAACTATTCAAACAACACGATGCAAACAAAAGCCTCAATCCCAATAGGTCCAATTGTTTGTTTCTCATTAATTTTCAAGGCATTACAAATTAAATGAGTTATAAAATGCGAAAATTTAAACAATAAATTTAATGGAGACACTACAAATCAGGTACACTTGTGTCTTATCTACTTCTATCTCTCTTCGAAATTCTTTGTTACATCTTCTTATGAGTGGATTTGCTGTGTTATGTTGTTATTGTTGTGGGTTGTGGTTGGAATTGTTTTGTTGAAGGTGAGGGAGTGGGTGAATTTGGTGATGGCTTATGCCTATTTGAGGGAGAGGTTTATGAATAATTTGAGCAGGGATTCTTTGAGAAAATTATTGGTGCTTTTAGAGATGAATAAAATGTGATTTATAGGTAGACTATGAGACTGTTTTTGAGAATGCAAAAATAAAATGCATTTAATTAATTTCATTAACCCTAATAATTATTTTGCTTATGGGTTGATACCATGCATTTAATTAATTTCATTAACCCTAATAATTATGTATGCTTTAATTGTAACATTTAATTAGAATTAATAATAATTAGTTAGATAAAATGACATTTAAAGATATGTATATTGGTTGTTAAACTGGATTAAATGATTTTGATAAAAATAAAATATTAAGAACTATAATGATTTTATATATCGTTAAAAATCTTTGATAAAATTGATTTTAATTGATTAATAAAATAATTATAATGATAATTACTTAAAGTAGATATAATGAAAATATATCACAATGTTAAATGTTATATAAGATTAAAAGTAATGCATGATTAATATAAACTAGTTTTATACTATTATTTAATAAAATTATATTAATATTCAATCATATCATATTAATATTTTATAATTAAAAGTGTCATTTAGTTTGATTTTTTTATCTTTATAAATAATTTAAAATTTTCAATATCACATAAAATTAATCCTATCTTATTTTCTTTATTTTTTATTCAATAAAGTATATTTACATAATTGATTTAAGAAAAACTTAATGATAGAGTAAGAGAAGAGAGATGTACCGGAAAAATGAGAAAAAGATGTACCAAATTTATGTTTGGTTATTTATGTTTGATTGACTTGAGAGACTTTAAAATGAATTTACATTTTATTTTAAAATTTTAGATTAATTATATTTAATAAAATAGTTATACGGAACAATATTTTTATTGTTTAATTACTATTAAAATGAAAAAGTTAAAAAATGTTATATTTTAAAAAATTAAATGGAAGTGAGTTGTTTGTTTAGCTTCAACTTTTTAAATTAACTATTAAGATATATTAAGATATTCGTGTGTTCGCACGTCTCATTAAATTAAGTAGAGCTCATTTAGAAAGAAAAAATAATCAAATGTTATGATATTATTTATAATAAAAAATAATTTAAATAAAAAAATAATTTAATTTATAAAATACTATTTTGTATTGTTAGTTTGTGCAATGAATATAAATCAATAAAATGGAATAATTTTAATTAAAGAAATAATATAAAATTGAAGTAGTAACAAAAACATATCATTCTTATTTATATGATTTATACTATTTCACTTGAGTATAAAGTGCAAACACGTATAATTTTTAATCAAAATATTTAGCTAAGATATATTTAATTTGAAAACTAAATAATTATATATTTAATATGTTAGAGACATTTTCATTAATATTAGTTTCTCATCAAGTCTCTAGATTTTCTGGTTCAGACAAACTTTTCTCTTTACCGAGGGTTAGTGCACCTAAATAACCAGAGATTGTACTTTTAAGGCTGTCCACTTCATGCACAAAAACTTGATCACATAACTGACAGTTGAATCCTACCTGAGATCTAAATTTGTGCATAATTTAATAATAAACCATATGAACCTATGTGTGTTAGTTTGTAAAAATGGTCTAAACATGTTTGATCATCAACTTTAAAAATAAGCAAGGTAAAATAAAATATGTACATTAATAGGTAGACTAGCCTATTTAACTCACAAATCATTATAACAAACACTTGGTGGGCTAATAGATGATTCCAAGGATAAAACTAAATTTAAACAACATTAAAAAGAGTGAAAATACTAATGCCTAATTCAAATTTAAATGGAGAGAATAAATAAAAAATTTATGTATATATACACACGTAGAAACATAACATGAACTCACATATTCATGGACGAACACGGTAGACTCAAAGATTCAGAAAGACTTGAAGATCTTAAAATTGCATCAGCCTATACGCCCATGTTAATGAATTTCTTACCTTCAACATTTCTCTGCGAAATTCTCCATATGTTCAAAATGTAGATTTATCTTTTATACCAACATATATATAATATGCATAAACAAAATATAAGGGTGTATAATACATATAAAGTTTCTTAGCAGCATTGTTGTCAAATTTAAATGGAGAGAATAAATAAAAAATTTATGTATATATACACACGTAGAAACATAACATGAACTCACATATTCATGGACGAACACGGTAGACTCAAAGATTCAGAAAGACTTGAAGATCTTAAAATTGCATCAGCCTATACGCCCATGTTAATGAATTTCTTACCTTCAACATTTCTCTGCGAAATTCTCCATATGTTCAAAATGTAGATTTATCTTTTATACCAACATATATATAATATGCATAAACAAAATATAAGGGTGTATAATACATATAAAGTTTCTTAGCAGCATTGTTGTCACCTGTCAATGCACAAAGTTCCTTAGAAGGAATATAGTCACAAGTGAATTCTAAAAATAGGACACATAAAAACTTAGATATAGCTAGCTGTAAATCCTTAAAATAAGGTTGTACCTTGCCCTGTTGTAAGTTCTGCAACGAAATTTTTTCACAATGACAGTTACTGGGTTCGACCTTGCTGCTTGTTCAACTGCATCAAGAGTAGCAATGTTGCGCCCTTCTGAGATAAAGAACTTGCAGCACAGTAGCATAGATTGGTCTACCATTTTATTTTGCTTTTGCACAAATAGTAAAAGAGGGAAACATGTACTTATATAACAATATATCCACGTATATTAAAGACAAGATAAAAGTATGAAACATGTACTTGTTCTAAACTTGCAAATTCAACCTCAAATACCATATATGAAAATGTAACAGGGCAAAATCTGACATAAAAATCTCTATCAGTATTGTAAAACAACTTGCTTGTCAACCGCTTTACCGTTTTCTAACATTTGTTACATACATTGAATAATGTAAGGTCGTGCAATAGTTAAAACCAACATCATTATCATTATTATAATAGAAATTTTAAATGTTCCACATTCAAAAGAAAAATTACTCTTATAAGCCACATGATGAAATCCATTTTGCACAACACCAAGATCATTTCCATTGTTAATGCCAACGCCAATTTTTCCTCCCTTAATCAACCTCGTACTGTTACCCTTCATCCTTGAATTCACCGCCTCCTTTATCTAAATTTAAAATGCATATACATTATTCATCATTCATCATCACATAATACATACAAATTCAATCTCATCTCAATGATTGCTGAAGTCACCAATCTTGCATACCCATAGAGTTGCTCATCATCAAATGACCGTAAATGGAGCCAAGTCATGCAACAAATGAAAAGAATTTGACTTACTTTTAGCATGTCACATACTGCATTGTGCTCTTTGATAAACAAAGCCTACAGAAGAGAATTAAAATCTATTAGTAAATAGCTCTGTAGCAATGCAAAAATTCTGACTCAATTGCTGCTATAAAAATGAAATGACATATACTTATATGTAAACATGATAGATATGTGAATGCTAATACTTCCACAAATTCTTAGTCTACCTGTGAAAATGTTAAGAGCTTGGAATTATTAGGCTTAAAAGTTAGAACAAAAAAAGTTATTTTATGGTTGATTAAATAGTCAATTTCATATCTAGTCTGCATTCAATAGGTAAGGTGCCATAGAAAAATAACTTACAATGTCCAGTTTTTTCTTCTCAAAATTTTTGGAAACAACAATTCTTTCACTGAAGAAATCTGGCCCAGAGCTTCCTGAACTCCTCACCCAATTTTCTGCCAGCATTGCTGGTACTGGCCTTGCTGTTGGGCTATCTGTGATCTGCAAACTAGTCTGAAGAAGGGTCCCTTTTTATGCATCTAAGGTCTTCAACACAGGGTTGGGTTTTGGGTTGGTTTCGCTTTCTTGTGGAGTAAACATCACCCAAAAAATACGGCATACCTCTGGTGCCATCCATCAGTAAGTTACGGTGATTGCAGTCATCATTTTGGTCACCAATTCTTCTCCTGCAAGGTCAAAATCTACAACTTTATAAACAAATAATTGACAGTGAGTTTGGTGATATACACTAATCAATTAGTCTTCATAATAAACTGTTACAATGACATACTTTTAGTCACAAACACACAACAAAGATTGCAGGCTCACCTAAACCCAATAATCATAGGTGTAATTCAAATATGTTATGATATATACTTCTGCATCTTTTTGAAGCCAATAACATTCATCAAATGCCCCATTGCCTCTCATCAAGTATATACATAACGGAAATCTATAAACACAATCAAACATAATCAATTAGAATAAGAAATCTTACATTATAGCCACTGATAGATATGCAGTACTTCTGTGCAACTGTGATGTTGCTGTCATGTTTGCCTCAATATTCATCCGCAAAATCAAACAACTGCAATTCATCAAAACCAAATACAAATCAATTTAGTGATTCTATATGGAAATAGAATAGTCCAGTATCCATCATAAGTTACCATCATCAGATATAAGACTTCTCCTAACTTATCCAACATGAGTTGTGGAAGGAGTAACCGAAGCACAAACTGATCCAACATCTTACTTGTCAATCACTTTACCGTTTTCTGACATTCGTACATACATTCAATAATGTAAGGTCGTGCAATAGTTAAAACCAATATCATTATCATTATTATAACATAAATTTTAAATGTTCCACATTCAAAAGAAAAATCACCCTTATAAGCCACATGATGAAATCCATTTTGTACAACACCAAGATCATTACCACTGTCAATGCCAACACCAATTTTTCCTCCCTTAATCAACCCCGTACTGTTACCCTTCATCCTTGAATCCACGACCTCCTTCATCTAAATTTAAAATACACATACATTATTCATCATTCACCATCACATAATACATTCAAATTCAATCTCATCTCAATGTTAATGTAACTTAACAATAAATTACATGTTTTCTTTTTTCACGTTTGCTTCTAACCTCACGAAACATATCTACAATTAAAATGTCACAGACTTACAATCACATTCACAACGAATTCACATAAAAAATACAAACTAATTTATAAACCACAAACAATATCAATATCACTTTTCACACTCTCTAAAAAGCGTAAGAAAACATCAATACCACACATAAACAATCATCAAAAAGTGAAAACTAAGTCAATTGTTTCATCATCTTCACTAAACTCCCTTCCCTATAACAAACCACAAAATGGTTGGAAAAAAAACTCCAATGCAACAAAGAAATGTCAGTTACGTAACCGAATCAAGAAACAGAAGTGATAGAAAAAGAAATCGAAAAACGAAAAACCTTGAGCAAAAGCTTCTAGACGGTGAGGTTACACTCTTTGGTTACACGACCCACATACGACCCGAAACCCTTTGCGGCACCCAGTTCTGTCCCTCGCCAGTGACGTCGCGTCGTCTTTACCGCAGACTACCCTTCTGCCACCAACTACTCATTCACCCAGAACCACTCTCTTTCCGCAACCAACCGTGAGGATCGCTTCGATCACATCCAAACCACGACGACAACCACCGTAGCCCTATACCCCACCACCGTAGCCCTATACCCCACCACCGTAGCCCTATACCCCTTTTGGATTTCATGTTCTTCTTCGATCACAAACCTGTGTTTCGTAGATTTAGGTAGAGGGATAGTGGAGGGTTGTAGAAAATGGAATATAAAGGTTCGTGGGAACTGTCTTTAGTAACCGCCGCTTATTGTAACGTACAAATTGAATAAAAGTAATAGGAAAGTTAAGGAAGACAAAAGGGTTAGAATGTAGTATACAAATAGCAAATACAAAATTGGAACTAAAGAAGCTATTCACCCGTTGTGTTTTTGAAATAAAAGGATAAAATAGATTTTTTTTGGGTAGAATGAGTTTTTTTATATTATAGATTTTTTATAATTTTATTTAAAAGTATCTTTTGTTTTATAAATAATAAATTATTTTATAAGTTTAAAAGTTGTATGCTAAGTGTAAAAAAATATTAAATTAATTAAAAAAATTATATTTGTCTAGAACGTGATTTGACGGGAGATATATCCCTCTCATTATATTATTTTTATTTAAGAGACTGTAAAAGAGGATTAAATTTAAAAAAAGAAAGTAAGGAATAAAATGAAAGAAAAGACAAGAAACTATAAGCTTATTATTATTTCAGAATAGCTTCTCAAACAAACTTACTCCACAAACTATTGAGATAAACTCCTTTCGCTTAACACCTCAACTTTGGTGAAGGAAACTTGACAAGTCAATCAAATAATAAGCTATAAACAATCTAGCCTATTAAATTTGCCAAATAGAGAATGTATAAACTATAAACCAAACAGAATATCATAGTTCAACTAGAATTAAGCTAAGAAAAGCTTCCTAATTAACCACTCTACAATCCTTCCTAATCTCTTGGCCACCATTGATGCTGCTCATTTTGACCATAGACTTCACAAAAGCCTTATAAAATGCATCTTGTGAGGTAGCAAATTTTGAAACAAGATCTTTGGTATATGGAGTATTAATAAGAACTTGATCAGAAGAAAATATGGCCTTCCCTTGGAGGATCAACTTGTAATATGTATTGTCAAATGTAGTTGAAGAAGCATCCAAGGTGGTGCCTGCATTCTTCATTTGATTTTGTATTGGACAAATTGATTTTAGCTTTGATGCAAATGATGGATTCAATGAAGGGTCCACTTCATGTGTAGCATTGAAGTTATGAATTCTGTTCTTGAAGGATGAGCAGTGAGAGAAACCTAAGGTATGTCCTCCTACATAAGGGTAAAAAGAGACGTCACTATAAACCATACTCATGTATATGCTATAATTCAATTTATCTTAGTAAATGGTGAAGTTTTGGTCTATGAAATTTGTTACCTGATAAAGCTACCAAGTCTTCCAATGACAGACCTCTTTGAGAGAAGCTCTTCTGTAGTTGCGATACGTTGAAAGATGGTGATGGTAGCTGTATGGTTTCACTGGCCTTGGATGTTCTTCCATCCTTTCTTCCTTTAGGAACATCCCAACCTGGACCTCCAGACTGTTACAATATTGTTTACACATAAACCATATAGGATCGTTAGTTAGTTATGTGATGATAGTTTTTTGAAGTTATCATCTAGCTTTGTTTATATTATACCAGAAAAACAGCATCCCTTGCTGCTAGAGCTAGGATATCAGCACAAGAGACTACCCCGGGACAAGCAGCTTCTATTGCCTTTTTTGCATTATCAATGATAAAGAATGCATGCAAAGATACATTTGGTGGTCCATCTTTTTCCGCTTTGTTGCTTCCTTTTGAGTTTAGCAGCACAGATGCATCACATCCCTACAAAATAATTTGAAAAAGCAAAAAGAATCAGATACAATACAATGTGTATATATGCATGATTCACTTTTTTTTGTAGCATTACCCGAATGAAGCAGTCGTGGAAGTGTAACCGGAGAAGCGCTGCAGGGACAGTTTTGTCCGAAGCAGTGGCATCTCTCACTGTCTTGGCAACAAAGAACTCTACATCAGGACATGTCTTTTCGTAATAGTTATAACTAAGTGAATTCCCTGTTGAAACTAATGAAAACAAGAGAAGTAAATTCAAGATTAATGCAACCATGAAAGCCATGCAAACCAATTAAAACTACTAATTCAATGTTTTTTAGCTTCTAGTTGTAGAAATAAAAATGAACAATATTGGTTTTTATAGAGTGAAAAAGAAAGATTAGTTAGTTATTGACATGATGTAGCACAAGACAATATCAATTTGTTAAGTATGATTGTCAATGTAGTAATGTTAAAGCATTTTCATTACCAAAAGGCAATCATTTTTTTTCTTTCTGGTATGTTATCCTATTCCCAATGTGTGAAATGAAAAGTTAGATGTTTCTGTTGGCTCTTTTATGTTAATTTGATATTAGGCCATGCCAAAGTTAGATTACAGCCTTCTTAGTTGTGCTTACCAACAAGGCTAGACGCGCCTCAATTAAGGAAGAATCTAAGATGGTTATGGTTGAGCCATCTTTGTTGTTGCTTTTGCTTTCTAAACTTGCAATCTAAGCCTTTTAACTTTGTTAGTTATGATGTTAACAAGTTATTTCTAAAGACATAATTATTGGAGCTTAAGTGCTAATTTGGACTGTAGTCCAAAGGGTGCTTATTAGAAACACTATTATTGAGAATACTAAACAGGAAAATGAAAGACAAAAGTAATTGCCTCTAGTTGGTTCATAATGTGAAGATCTTTTAGATTGACAATTGAAGATATACTTATATAAAGTGTTTTACAAAATCTACAATGTTCATATATGAGTGAGACCAGTTATAATTATGTGATTAAGTTGTTGATCAAAATGTGCACATTGGGTTGCAAATTCTTATGTCAACATAAATTGTTGAAAGTTGGAAATGAAGTTAAAAGTAAAAGTAATATAATTTATTTAAAAATTAAATACTATGATTCAAATCTTGGTGATAAAATTCAACTTAAGCAATATTGGTTTCTATCAATTGAGTTAGAATTTAGAGACAAATAATATATTTTTTATTATCAATTCTTGTGAAATAAATAAATACATTGGTTTTTACCTTAACTTTTTTTATTTTATCTTACCGACATTTATTAATATTGAATATGTGTTATTGCAATGTATTAATACTGAATAAAATACAAAAAAAGCAAAGATGTCAACAAACTGTCGTATAATATATTAATATACAGTAATATATAACATGAGAATGGGAATTTCTGTACTTTACAAAATACAATAAGCTATTACTATTATTTACAAACCCATGATCAAATTAATGCTATTAAAAAAAAGAAGCGATATTACTTCTCCTATACCAAAATTAAAAAGCCCTATTAATTTAAACAAATACACACATAATGGAATGCCATAAAGATGCTAAAAAATGACTATAAGTGAAAAAAGAACCACCATATATGCAAAATTAGACTTCATCCTAAATGACTGACTAGGTGAAAATCTGCCAGTATTGCTTGATGGTTCTGATCTAGCCACAGGATTCACAGCAATAGCAGGGGAAACAGCAGGAGAGTGAGATTTGTTTATAGGTCTTGTATTGGATAGTACTTCATCAGTACCTGAGAACAATTTCATATCTTAGATTTTCAACTACAACCAATGTAGAAGAGATGCAAAATATGCAGGATCTTGGTGCTTAAGAGGTGAAATATACTCACAGTTTGATTCCTTCCAACCAAGATTCATGTTTTCGCGATCGAAAACTATACGGTAACCAGTCATGAAGTTTTCTGCATCAAGTCATACATGTTCTTGTCATAACATTGTTTCAACTAAGAATAAAAGGAATTGTTTAATAAAAGAGTTTAATTCGAATAGACTGAAGTGTAAAAAAGGTTTTACACATGTATATGTTTTATAACTCATCAATGATGTGAATGCATAGGTAAAACCTTTTTTACACCGAATGTATGTATAAATTAAATTTTATCGTATATTCGCTATGAATCTTCAGTTATATACTCACGTCCAATGATATTCAAATTGTCACTTTTTTGTATTCCCAAACAAAGAAGATTTCCCTCAACCTGAGTATCACAAGGAATTTGAAATTAAGGTAAAAGACTTTTTGGGAATGATAAAACCAAAAAATTGAGTTTTAAGTTCTCACCTCACTATGTTAAAAAAAAAAAAAGAAGTTCTCACCTCACTAGAAACTGGTACTAATGGATCCGTGACATAGTAATCATCTCCCCCTTTCATTGTTAGATTCAAAAAGGGAATTTCAATTGCCTGATCTGGGCTGCAGGTATAGTGGAATTCAGTACCTAATAACTGTTTGAAAAGAACCAGAAAATTTGATGGTTTCTTTCAAACTTTTATTACCTTATGTCATAACAATATTCAAAGGGGAGTTCGGAGTCAGGTGACTGGGGTGAATGTCGAACAGCTTTGACTAGAGAATTAAACTGAAAACACAGTGAATTGTTTTAACAAATCGAATGGCATGAAACTCCTTATTCTGTATTAATAAACTATAAAACTGATTACTTACCTTCTCGGAAATTAGTGTATAAGCTGGGTCATTTAGGTACGTGAATGAGGTACCAGAGTCAAAAATTGCATGAAACTCACGATCTGCAGCATGCCCTCCCACAACGATTTGTGTAATGGTGACATTATATGTTGGACTGGCAAGAAATATACAAGGTGAATTAAGCACTAACAAAGTTAGACCCGTTTTTTTTCATTCATAGTTTAGAGCGCAAGTAAGTGATAGCTTCTTGTTAAAAAGAAAAATGAAGATAATCAAAATAACCACTTACTGTGATTCCCTTAGGTTGAATGGAGTTTTTCCTTGATCCGAACTGCCTGTATCGCCAAATGTGATTCTTCCGGAACCATCAGATCCAAAACACATTGAAAAAGAATCTGAAATAAGCCCTTTTTGGGCTAGGATGCTTGGAACAGATACATTTTCCATACCAAGTCCAAACAAACCATTTGGAGCTGCACCATTTAGAAACACACCAGTCTGAACCTGGCCACAACTGCAATAGAGTCAACCCCAAATTTCGTAAATTGATGTTAAGAAGTCACAATCTGAAGGGTACTAATATCAAGAATATGAGAAACATTGGAAACAAAAATGTTTATTGTAGAAACAATAGTTCGAAAGAGAAGCAAACAGAAGCAATGATGTTGAGATAATAATGAAGGCTCAGGACATCAATTTCTGTATACCATTTCATATTCCAACCTTGTTAAAAGCAAACTGAAATGATTTGGCCTAGAATGCACCGAGGCTTCATAATATACATACAGTCAATAAAATTTCTCAGTAAGATTTTGAGCATTATACCCAATAGTAATGTGTGTGTCAACATCTTTTGTTTGATCATTATCTGTAATCAAGTGTAACACATCTTCTATCAAGAATCCAGAAGATGAAGTATCATTTGAAAGATACTCAACTTCATACCGACAGCTACTACCAGATGAAGGGCATTGTGTTTGTTTACACATGTTGCTACTGCATGGAACACTGTTCCTTGTAGATGACTTATCAAGCTCATAGATATTAAGATCAATTACCTGCAAAAGAAAACTTTGTAAATAAAACAAGGGTCATGCTAACATGTGCCCTAAGGGCGTATGTTAATAATACTATAATTAGAAAATTAATTATGATAAAAATGAAATTTCATATAAGCTCTTCACTATTATCACCAACTAAACACAGTACTAACACAAATACTTTGATCAAGAGTTCTGCTATTATCGAGTACGAATCTAAACAGCAAAATATACAATACAAAGTGCAAACCTTTCCGGTTTGTGTCTTTACACCGCGCACGCAGCTGGTACAATTACAAGGTAACCAGAACAAGTCACTGCCAGTATCCAATGCCACCAAAAACCACAAAGGTGGTGTCCCAACCGAAACATTGGCAAAATGCAAACTGAAATCCAAATAACCAGAAGAATTTGTTACTAACATACACAACAACATAGAAAATACTCACTATTGACTCAAAATAAGCAACAAAAAAAATGTCATATTTGGCACATTCTAAATAATTTCACCCTATTTAATGTTTTCATTCTAACTAATTGATTATTTTTGCTATAATAAGTATTTTATATTGATGAAGCGTGACACAGTAATAATTAAAAAAATTAATTAATTAAACATAATCACAAGTGTCAGACACATTCACGCCTTTTAATCAAGGGATGAATATTGAGGAAAATAACAAAAGTGAGAGAAGAGGTGGCATACAATCCAAAAGCAGCAATCCGGTGAGTTTCATTGCCGGCGGCGAAAGTAACCGGCGTATTGTAATCTGCAACAAGTCGACGACCGTGAAACACGCGATCTCTATGAACCATAGCAGCGTAGTATTGAGGAGTTCCTTTATGAGGCAAGAATTCACCATCATCAATGCCTAGAATCTCGGTAACTGGATCCGAGAATCTGTGATGGATATCCAAACCGAATGTGCCGAAGCTGTTACAGCTCTCCGAAGATAAACTCAACACTAAAACTATTAACAATAGAATCAACAGTGATCTTTGCTGTGTAGAGGCATGGCTATAGTTACAAGCCATGAATTTTGTTGGAATGGATGATGATTTAATTTAATTTGTTTGGTAGAAAATTTGCATTGATAAGATAATGAAAGGAAAAATGGAAACTGATTGTATTTGAGAAATGATTGTGTTTGGTGGAGGATTTTAATTGTAATTAGGTTGCTAATTTGTGTTGAAATAAAGTAAAATAGGCTGTTAATGTTAATAAGACTTTAGTCTTTTGGTCAAACCAAAATAGTAAGTCTTTTGTTGTTAGTCCTTACCCTTACGGAATGGGACGGGGATCATTCTTGACTCCATATAGTCCACACGTATAAATGTGGGACACGGTTTTTGAGAGTACATTCAATTTATTTTGTATTTTTATGCTATTATTAGGTACTTCTAGCTCTACTTAGTTGTCGAAATTTTTTGAAAAAAAAGTACATACTTCAATAAATAAAATTCTTTGTACACCCAAGTCTCATATGGAAACCCTAAATTACCATTCGGATATGCATATACGTAGGAATTCTTAAAGAGTGTTTTAGATATACATATCCGAACG